CCCTCATCCCTGCCCAAATCCCAAAACGCTGCCAACAAGAGACACAGCCCAGGGCCCGCAGGGCACAGATGCAGCTCCATGGAACCCCGCACACCCGCCACGCCATGGAGCACACCGCGGTGTCACTCCAGAGGGCTGCAGGGACAATCGRCCCCGCGACAACCCCGGTCCCGCCCCCCGTGGGCGTTTTTGGGGTCAAATCCCCACAAATCGGGAGCRGAGGGGTGGGGGCGGAACGTTGGTGCGCGGAACGTTCGGTGAGTGGCGCCGCGTGCCCGCCGGAGCTGTTCGCTGCCGGAGCGGTCCCCCGGTGCTGCCAGGTGAGGCCCCGCGGGGCTGCGGGAGCGGCGGGGCCGGGCCCGGGATGGTCCCAAAAGCGGAACGGGATGGTCCGGGATGGATCGGGATGGACCCAAAGGGGGGACGGGATGGACCGGGATGGTCCCAAAGCGGGAGGGGACGGGTTCGGGATGGTCCCAAAGGCGGGGCCGGGATGGACCGGGATGGTCCCAAAGCGGGGCTGGGCCCGGGGCCGGGATGGAACGGGATAGTCCGGGATGGTACCAAAGGCGGAACGGGACGGGTCCGGGATGGACCGGGATTGTCTGGGATGGTCCCAAAGGCGGGGTGGGATGGGTCCCAGAGGGATGGGTCCGGGATGATCCGGGATGGTCCCAGAGGCGGAACGGGCCGGATCCGGGATGGTCCCAAAAGCGGGGCTGGGCTCGGGATGGCCAGGGATGGTCCCAAAGGCGGGTCCGGGATGGTCCGGCATGGTCCCCAAGGCGGGACGGGTCCGGGATGGTCCGGGATGGTCCCAAGGGGTTGGACCGGCCCCGGGATGGTCCCAAAGGCGGGTCCGGAATGGTCCGGGATGGTCCCAAAGGCGGGACGGGTCCGGGATGGTCCAGGATGGTCCGGGATAGTCCCAAAGGCGGAACGGGACGGGACCGGGTTGGGTCCGGGATGGTCCCAAAGGCGGGGTGGGACGGGTCCCGCTGCCCCCGGCCCTCGTTCCTGCGGGTGCTCCGGGAATTGCGGGGCGCGGGGTTTTCCTGGGRTGCTGCTGCTCCGGGATGTGCCGTGAGTAGGCTGCGGGCAGAGAGCTGGAGGGTGGGAATCTGCTCCAGAATTAGGAAAGTTTAAAACACGTAAACCCGTCTATCCCTGTGAGGATGGGAGACCCTGGCACAGGGTGCCCAGAGAAGCTGTGGCTGCCCCTGGGTCCCTGGCAGTGCCCAAAATTGGACAGGGTTTGGAACAAACACAGTGGAAGGTGTCCCTGCCATGGCAAGGGCTGGCACTGGATGGGCTTTAAGGTCCTTTCCAATCCAAACCTTTCTCTATTTTTTGTTTTGTGAGAAGGGAAGAACAGGCACTATCTCKGTCATTATTTGATACATTTTCCAAGTGACTTTCTCTAAGTTATTTTACAATTTTCGAAGAATAAAGTATTTTTATGGTTTTCTAAGAATAAAGTGTTTTTTAATCTCTGTTCTAGAAACAGCCAGGAATACTTTTGGATTCTCATGGCTGTAAATGAGAAGGGATGRAATCCTGCAGGTCAGGCTTGCAGTGSKRGTTACATCCCCAAGMTGTAATCATWGCTGGAATGATGGTTATTTCTGTAATAAYTCCRTTTGGAGTAACTCAGAGTAACTCCATGGATCCTTTTGCTCCAGGGAATGCATTTCATGCCTTTTATATTCAGAAAGTGCAGATGGGGATGGCACAAAGCAGACAGGGGTCTGCAGTGGGTCAGCTCCCAGTTTGCACTGGTTTTGTTGTGCTGGGAGCTGGGGAGAACCCTCCAGCTGCTTTRAATTCTTCAGCCTTAGGAGATGAGGGTTTGGATTTCCCCTTCCGAGGCAGCAAAGCCACATCTCTGCACTGCCACCATCTTCCCATGGGCTCTGGGGACAAACTTGGTTTCCAGATGTGCTGTGCCAGAGTTTGTGGTGCCCCTGAGCAGGGAGAGGGGACAGAAGACACCCCCTGGATTTGCTTTTTTTACACACACCATCATCTCCAATTCTCTGAACTCCACTGAAGATGCTGCTGTTGGTTGCTCCATTAAATATGGAGTGATGGGAATGGGATAATGTGGTTTTTGGAAGGAGCTGGAGGAAMAATGAGAGCACTGATCCTGGGAAAACAGCTTCCAGTTAATGCTGAGGGCATTAACGCCTCACCACGGCCACAGGTTCAGTTTGGGGCATGAATTAGGTCGGGTTTTTACATTTCAGTCTCTCTGGAGCATCACACGAGCTCTGGCGTGACCTGCTTTGTTTTTTTTCCATGCTGGTGGCAAATGTGAGGAGTTCACACGGTCACCCTGCTCTGGGGTTGAAGCCTCTCTGCTCCCCCAGATGTTTCCACCCTAAATCACAAGCTTTTTTTTTTTTTTTTTGCAGAAGCAGAAATTGAGGTTGATTTGCAAAAGAAAATCTGAGCAGGGCTGGTGTCTGGGTGGGGAAATGCTSTGAARGTGGAGGGGAGAGACCACAGGGCTYACAGCAAATAAACATTTGTGCAGCCTGAGCTGGGGGCAGCCCTGGTCACCTCTGGAGCTGCCAGGCCGAATCTCCTTTTTTTCCAGCTCTTTCCCACAGTGGGAAACTGGGCTGGGAGGCTCTTTGAGCTGAGCTGCTCCTCTAATAGGCATTTATCAAAAAAAATGGTAAAAAAATCAGGTTGTTATTGGCAGCGTCAAGGAAGTGTCACGGACACTCTCAGAGAGTGAGAACTTGTCATCCTTTGGCTGTTTCCTCTGCTCACAGAATCTCTCTGGGGATATTTTGGTGCTGATTAGATTCTGTGCAGCAAATCCCTCTCTCTCCTGCCCTGCTCTCTCCTCTCTGCTCCCCATTGCTGAGGGCTCTGTGTGGAGAGGGTGCTCCAGGCTGTTCAGAGGGATTTAGGATTTTTCCTGGAATCCTGGAATGGTTTGGGTTGGAAAGGACCTTAAAGCTTATCTCATTCCACCCCCTGCCTGCCAGCAGCCTGCTCTGGTGGAAGGTGTCCCTGCCCACAGCYGTGGAATTCCAACTGAAACCATTCTGCAATTCTATRAAAACTGGKTTATAATTCAAGTTAGGATTTTAGGGATGTGGAGCTGTGCAGGGAAGGGTCTCTCTGTCCTGTTCCATCGTGGCAGGACCCAGGGACGTTCAGACTGCCCAGGATGTGGCAGTGTGAGGCAGGGACATAAATAATACAGTGGATATTATTCAAATGAAGGCTGCCACTTCCCCGTGGTGGGAATAACCCCCTGGGTAATCCCTGCCCGTACTTATCTGCTCCCATAATTGCTTCCTGCAGAATTGCTCAGCCCAGCCGTGCTGTTGGGATGCTGCTCCCCCTGCTCTTCCCTCAGCTGCTCCGTCCCCTSCGCTGCCTCACCCGGGACCTGTCCCACTGCAGATGGCATGGCAAGAGGGCTGGCTGTCCCCTCAGAGCTCTGCACACATCCCAGGCCACCTACAGCAGTGACATCACCCCTGTGTTCACCAGGGCTTTGGCTTTTGGTGACAAAGTGGCCATCGTTGACCAGAACGGGACGCACACGTACAGGGACCTGCTCAGCCGGAGCCTCCGCTTGTCCCAGGAGATCTGCAGGGTTCTGGAATGCTCCAGCAGGGACCTGAAGGAGGAGAGGATCTCGTTTCTGTGCCCCAATGATGCCTCGTACGTGGTGGCCCAGTGGGCTTCGTGGATGAGCGGGGCCATAGCGGTGCCCCTGTACAGGAAACACCCCGTGCCCGAGCTGGAGTACGTGATCCACGATTCCCAGAGCGCTCTGGTCATYGCAACCCAGGAATTCCTGGGGAAAATAACCCCCAGTGCCAAGAAACTGGGAGTGCCAGTGCTGCAGCTTGCCCAGTCTGGTGGTGATGGAGCCACGAGTCCTGCAGCCGTGGAGGAGGGGCCCTTGTCAAGCTGTTCCTCGTGGAAAGACAGAGGAGCCATGATCATCTACACCAGCGGGACAACGGGGAGACCCAAGGGTGTCCTCAGCACCCATGAGAACGTGCAGGCTGTGGTGAGTGCTGCTCCCCCTCTGCCAACCTCCTGCCAAGGTACAAAGTGTGGAATTTGGAGGGGATTTGGGGTTGCAAWCGCACCTTCCCACTGCCAAATTCCTGCAGAGCTGTGGGGCTGCAGCTCCAGCATCCTCCACACAGCAGCATGTGAGGCTCTGAACCTTGGCCTCTTCATGCTGCAGCTGCATCCCAAGGCAGGTGGATTCTCATCCCAACTTTCCTGGAAAGCAGAAGGAATGAGAGTAAAAAACCCAATTTCTTTGCAGTTTGCTTTTCTACCCTGTGACTAGGGAAGAAATTTTTCTCCTAATTGGAAAATACCTTAGCCCAACCCAGTGCTGTGTGAAGCCTGTGCATTATTCAGCTCTGTATCCCCAAGGCAAAAAATCCATTAGCTCTCAGAGCCAAAAAGAATTAAAAGTTTGAATAAGCCTGCTGCCTACTTCACCACTTGGTTATCAGTGCCTGCAACTGCCAGGCTGCTGCCATTAGAGAAGGAGGGCAGGGAATGCAGGGCTGATTTCTGGGTGCTTGGATACTGCARTGTCCCCAGAGGAATGGCAGCCTTGATGGATAGAGCCAGGGCTTGGCTATATTGGGCAAAGAATCTGTTGCTTTACAAATATGCTGAATATTTGGGGGTGGCYTGAGCAGTCCCCATCCTTTGTGCTGTCCTGCAGGAAGCCTAAAAGCTGCTCCCTTGCCCTTGTGAGACACACGACCAAATTCCACCGTTCAGATGCTTTTCTTATTTTTAGGTGGCTGGAAATAAGCTTTGCAGTTGCCAGTGCTGGGCTCTGAAGGGCATTGTTGACCTAGAAACCTCATAATTATCCCTTCAGATAATTATCCCTTCAGAGCAGAGTGTTTTAAAAGCTTGATACTCCAGTATTTTTTACTAACATGAAACCTACTTTCTATTTATCAGCGATTTCCTGCTCCTACTRACTATCCCTTACAGGTGCTAAAAGCCTGATGTCATCAGTGGCCAAACTACAGCAACAGAATTCTGGAAAATTAGCTTTTTGATTACTGTTTCTKCCAAATCTGCATGTGCAGCAGCGGATTAATATTTTTGCGTGTCCTACTTAAATTCATTGTTGATATTTTTCAGGAACAAGGAAGGGCTTTGCTGATTTAAAGACATGTCCTGGCAGGATGCTGAAGGTGTTCTGCTGTTGTGGGAATTTATCTCAAGGAAAAATTGGATGTCCAAGCAGGCTTGGAATTCCTGCCAGGGAATTTGGGGCCTGAACACCTCGGGAGAATCTTTCCTCCTACCCTAATGCTGTTTGTTTTCTCTGCAGACCACGGGGCTGGTTGAGAAATGGGAGTGGAAGCAGGAGGATGTGATCCTGCACGTTCTGCCTTTGCACCACGTGCACGGCGTGGTCAATAAGCTGCTGTGCCCACTGTGGGTGGGAGCCACGTGCATCATGTTCCCCGAGTTCAACGCGCAGATGGTGAGCCCTGGGGAGTGCTGGCCCTTTGAAATCCAGCACTGGGACAKGGGCACTGCAATCAGGGCAAGCTTGGGAATAATTCCTGGAGATTCAGCCTCTTTAGCACCTGCTGTGTGGTGGTTGGGTGCTCAATCCGGGGTAAATGTGCTCTTCCACAGGGTGCAGCTGTGTCAGTGTGATGTTGGAATGGGAATGCTGCACTGCCCCTCTCCATTCCTGGGCTGAGGGATCTGGCTGGGTCCTTCTATGTACCCACCAAGAGCATTTCCACCCAGAATTAGGATTGTTAATTTTTTTAGTGTTGGGAAAGGCGGAAATACTGGATTTTCTCCTGTATGTTAGTGGTGTGCTGTTTGTTGATTATTTTAGTAACTTGCATTTCACACACTCTAAATCTCTGAGGTTGGAAAAGACTCCCAAGGTCACCAAGTCCACCCTGTGACCAATCCTCACCTTGTGAGGTGTGTCCAGGCTCCAGGGGTAGGGCTTCACCACCTCCTTGGGCAGTCCCTTCAAAATTTTCCCCTTGCAATCCTACATCCTTAGTGCTTAGTATTGCATTACATGACAGAACACAGCCTGTTGAGTTTTTTGCAGCCCAGGTAARGGAAACACTGGTTTTCCAACATGGTTCTTCCTCTGTGGAGAAACAAGAGTTAACAGAGCTGTTGGGTTGGACTCAGTGATGGGAGAGTTTGCAGATCCAGACCTTGCAGCTTTTAAGAAAGGTGGCAGGAGGGAAACCTTGCTGGACTGGTGCACTTGTAATGTTGTCTGTCTGAGCCAGGAAACACCAGTCCCAGTGTTCTGCTGCTCCTTTGTTCCCTGCAGCAGGGGCACACAATGGAAAGAGAGGAAGGAGAGGGACAAGCAGCAGTGAAGGTGGAGCAGGTTCTACATTTCCCACTCCCTGGGAWCCAGCACCACCCATCCACATTTCCCAGTGTCCTGGGTGGCATCTGCAGTGTCACTGTTATGGGATAATTGGGTTTTTGGGTGCTGCTGCCACTCGGAACAGAAAGGAAATGAGTGTTGTCAYTGCAGAATTCCCTGGGAAAGCCAGGGGAGCCTGTGAAGCCTGTGCTCTGTGACTGCCCAGGCTGCTCTCCCTGTTTGTGCTTATCCTCACGTTGGGAAGGCTTGTCCTGGGCAGGACAAAGGGCACAGGTGTGGTGTACACCCAACAGCCTCAGGTTGTGCTGCTGCCAGGTAAGGACAAACCCAGCTCAACTGCAGGGCTGGCTGSTTCTTTGTGGCTCATTTCTGCTTTTCAGAGCAGCCGCAGAAAACGTTCACTTCCTTCTCTGTGTCAGGATGRCCTGACACCTGAGCACTGATCCTTTGTGGGGGGACAGCCCCGGAATCCCAGAGGGGCAGCTCTGCACTTCAGAGTAAATTGGTAGGATGCTGTGATAGAGGGCAGGAAGGGCAGGTGCTCTCTCCTCCCTGGTTGCTGCCAGGTGTTCTCCCAGCTTTAGGATGGCCCCAAAGGCTCGAGGTGCAGTGGGGCTGTGCTGGAGCAGTGCTGGCTAAGGTCACCTGAAGGAGGAGATGTGGATATAGAGGMGAAAAGGGAATAACTTCTACAGAGGGAGATGTGCAGTGCCAYGAACCAGCCAGAAACACCAAATCCAACTCTCTCCTGCCGGGGAGAGGCGGGACCGGCACGGAGAGGATGGAGCAGAGCCTCTGGAGGGCGCGGTGCTCCACACACATCCTGTGCCACCGCTGATTGATGGTCCCTCACACCCTCCTGTTTTTCTCTGCTCCCTCCTGACATCTGCAGATCAATGAGCTGGGGGCAGCAGGACCATTCTCCTCTCTGCTCTGCTCCAAGCTGTCCCCAGATGTGACACCCAGGGCACCCTTGACCCTGGAGCTGAACTTGGGCAGGGCAGGTGAGGCAGCACACGTGGCTGGGGGCTCTCAGGTGCACGGGRGCTCTGCAGGATGGCATTTGCCTCTCTGTTTTTTTTTCCATTCCTTTTATTTTCCCAAGAGCCTCCCCTGGGAGCCACAAGTGGTTTGATGGACACTCCAAAGCCAGCACGGGCGGGTAAATAAGGCTTTCTCGTGGAGTTTATTGCAAGCTGCCTTTCAGTTCCACTCTGTTTTCACCAGCTGTTTACAAAATGCCCTTTGCTACTGAAATCAGCTTTCAGCAAAGCAGCAGTGGAGGATTTTGCCAAAGGAGCCCGAGTTTTGCCGTGTGCTTTTTTTCCTTGGCTGCACCTTGAGAAAGCAGCCAATTATAGTGTGATATAAAGAAACTCGACTGGCAGCTAAARCACTTGACAGGCTGATCAAAACAAGGCGAGGAACTTACTCTCAACCTGCTGCAGACATATTTAGCCTTGAGTGATACTGGCAAAGGTTCAAGAGAAACCGCAGCAGCACGCCCGATGTGTGTTTGGTTTCTAATCACCAACACTTCATTATACGAAATAAATACTTTATTATTACAGTGTTTATTAAATTACATAATTTGCGGCGTGCCTTATAGTCGTGGATACAGATGGCAGTCTGGTTTTGGTGGTGGGAATAATGCTCTTTTTTTTTTTTTTTTCCTCTGAGAAGACATTCCCAGCCCCAGACCACGGCTTGCTTGTCGTTCCCCGCGGTGCAGGGGTAGGAGGTGGCAGCTTTCAGACCTTTACGTCTGTTTTTGGGAGCTGTCCAAGGGAAGGTTAAAAAKCAGGACTGTGGAGTAGCCCCAGTGTCCTGACCAACATCCTTCTTCTCACTAAAACACCATCTGATGTCTGTGGCTACTGCTGGGRCCACGAGGACTCATTAAAGTGTGCTGAGGTGCCTCAAGCGTGAAAGTTTCTGCATAAAATCAGATTCTTTTTTATTAAATGAGGACATCCATTACTCTGCACTAGCTACTGTACATGTTATAATTCACTTTATAGCACCATCTGTTAAGACTGTCTTGCTTAAGCTTTTCGTGGCATTTTTTTATTGCGAGTTATTAAAAAATATGGCTGCATCTATTAATCATTTATTAATAAAGGGTTTATAAATGGACCCTTAGTTTCCAGAATTAGTCGACTCGTACGTGATGTACTGAGTCCTCTGGTGCTTGTGCTCTTTGGGGTGCAGAGTCTTCACAGGGGGCCCTTCTGCTGCCTGGAGAGCATCCTGTGCTCCTGTCTGTGCTGCTGGCTTGGGAATGGCAGGGATGGCTCTTGGGAGAGGCTTTTCAGCACAGGTGGGTGTGGAGCAGRCAGGAGAGCAGCAGTGAGCCTGAGAGGTGTCCTGCCAGCAGCTCTGTGGGGCACAACTGCCTGTGATGTTATTTTTTTATTGGTTTTCAAAGGTGAGAAGTGGGAGGGCAGAGCCAGAGCGAGCTGCAGTCTCAGCATCCCTGTCTGTCCTGCCATCTGAACCTGCTCCCAAGCTGAGTTTACTCTTCCAGCTGCACAGTTCCTGTTGCCATTTCCAGCTGCTGCAGTAGGAATTTGGTGTGCAGGAGTACAGGTTTGAAAGGTGCTGTGTTTGTACAGGTTTTGCACATTTTGGTGGCCAGAGGAGCAGAGATGAGTGTCTCTGTCAGGGAAGGAGTGCACAGTGAGCCTCTCACCGAGCCCCTGGAATATCCATTCCCATACTCCCTCCCTGCTCAGTTCAGGCTGTTGGTGTGACAGTCACACAGCCTGTGGTGTGACTGATGCTCCATGGAAGTGGCAGTGAGCCTGGAGAGACAGACCTGGGGAAACTGAGTGTCCCCTGTGCTTGCTGTGACAGTCACACACTGATGTCCCCATTCCAAACCTGGCATCCTTTGGACAGGAGCATTTTGGAGCAAGTTGTGAGGTCTGTGTCTGCTTTGCAGGATCCTCTGCTGTGGTTTTTGGCCAAAGAGGATCAGTTTTGAGCTCAAACACAGGAAGAGCCTTGCCTTGGACACTCCTGATCCAGCCTTGAGGGAGAGATGTTCTTAGGGCAAAAGGTTCCCTGTCAGCTCTCTGCATTGATAAACACGAGAGCAGTTCCCAGGAGGTCTTCCAGCCTTTAGTGCAGAGTGGGAAATAAGAGTWTTCAAAAACCTGAAGGAAGAAACTTGCTCTGCTGAGTGATGGGAGAAGCTGATGGAAATCTCCTCTCCGGGTGCCCCAGTTGTGGTGTGTGCTCGGCTCTGCTGGGCAGGTTTTGAGCTCTGATGTGCTGCCTGTGCAGTGACAGCTCTGGCTGTGCCCTGCAACCYCTTCCATGATAAATATGCCAAGATGCAGATTTCCTGCCCGGCAGTTCCAAGAGCTGCTGTTTYAGTGCCAGCCTTGCTACGTGTCTGACTTAAGGTGCTCCGAGGAGCAAACCCTGTAAACACCATCCTCTGTTTTATGCTGCTGCACTCAAAGCCATCAAAGTCATCTTGTTTGGACACTTCTTTCTAGGGCAGTAAGAATGCTCTGTGCTCAAAGGTAGTGTGTGACTGGGGCCAAGCTTTCCCTGAGGTTCTGTCCCCCGTGTCACCTTTTCCCCGTGGTGGGAGGGAGCAGCAGACCTGGCACAGGATGAGTGGGAGGTGTTGCTGCAGGGTCATTTCTGCACTGTGTGCTCACAGCCCTGAATTCCTCAAGGCCAGGAAAGGCTGTGCTGTGTCTGGGAGCAGAGTTTGTCCTTGTCACTGGTGTTCTCTGTGCGAGCCAGGCTGGGCTGGGTGCTGGGTTTTCTACCTTGGCTGGGCTGCACAGGGAGATCAGGGCACAGCAGCCGCTGTTGCCTCGGGGAAGGAGAAGCGTGCGCTGCACTGAGCCYCTCCCCTGGATCTGTCACTTCTGCAAACATCACTCTGGGCAGCTCTTTTGGTTTATTTTTAAAAGAAAAGCAAATCCAAGCAGAGGAGCCTGAGCTCCAATATCCAGGCACGCTGGGGATCGCGGCCCCCATCCAGTTTCATCTGGAGAGAGGCTGAAAATCKTTTCATCTGCTAATGGGAGGCTTCAGAGGAGTAATTTTATTTCAGACTCAAAGAGGAGTTGGTGGAGGGAGGAGCAGGTCACTAGTGAATGGATTATGTTTGATCACTTCTCAYAGACCTGGCTTTAAAAAGTTAGAGGTTTTCTTTCCCGTCTCCCCAGATCTGCCGTCTGTCCTCAGCATCTGTTCCCTAGTAATGGCTTTTGATGTGTGTGGGGAAATATAAAAAATGGAACCAGAGCCTGTCATATTTACTTATATTTCCAGGTCCCAGGGAAAGCACTTGCTCCKTTCAGTATGCCTCCAGCATAGGAAGGGTTTAAAAGCTTCAGCCTGKAATGCAGAGGGGCCATCAAACTGTGCTGATGAATAAATGATTAAAACCAGAGTCACACAGAGCACAAACAGTTTGGGGTTATAACAAACATGAGATTAAGCCACCAAGGGCCTGATTTCTCTTTGAAGAGAAGRATGTTTCTCTCTCTCTGCATATTGCTCGTGAAGTGTCGGAGGCTCAGTCCTTGGGAGAGAGCAGAGCTCCCCTTGGTGCTCTCCAGTCTCACGTGCTCGTCTGTTTTTTCAGGATAATTTGGTGTTGGATGTGTGTGCGTGGTCCTGCAGTCCCTTTGCTGCTGCTGCTGAGCTACAGGAGCTTCCCAGCCTTGTGTTTGGCACAGGGTCTCACCAAATTCACAGCTGCTTTGACCATAGCCCTGTTGCTCCCAGATATTCCAGAAATCACCAAAATCCCTTTTCCTCGACAGTGCTTTCCGTGTGGCAGTGGTCAATGCAAAAYACAGACCCGAGCAAGAGGGAAGGAAAGGGCTGAATTAACCTTGCATTAGAAGGATTGTTATTTTTGAAAAGGTTTAAAAACATTCAATTACAACTGAAAATGGTAATTTCATAGAGGAGAGGAGCTGTTGTGTCTGTCAATAGAGGCACCACGGGCTGGCTGGGATCTGTCTGTGGGCTGATGGAAAAATCCATGCTGATACTTGCTTCCTTTTCAGCTTGGCTAGTTTTGGGAATCTTCTATCAGCCAAAATCTTACATGGTTTAGCACATAACTGGGTTTGCCACTTGCTCGTTTTGTTTTGCATGAGAAGATGCCCAGGTRTWGGATTTGGTGTTTCTGRCTGGTTCATGGCACTRCACATCTCCCTCTGTAGAASTTATTCCCTTTTCTCCTCTGTACCCACATCTCCTCYTTCAGGTGATCTTAGCCAGGTTGGGAAGGTTGCTGTATGGGCTGACCACCCTTTGGAGCAGCTCATATGTTCTTCCATCCTCATTCACCATCTGTGTGTTGGGAAAAATATGTGGGAAAAATCTCCCAGCTGTGTCTTGCTGCGCTTGTTTTGTACCCACTGGTGTAATTTTCTCCTTTTTTTTTTTTTYCTTTAATGATGGCAAAATCCCACTGGCCAGCTCATGATATGCTTTTGAGCAGTGGGAGGGGAGGAAAATCAGGAATGTCATGCTGACAGGAAGGCTCTTGGGAACATTAGGTCTCCCACTTCTCTGCTGGCACCGGCAGCCCTGACCCGAAGCACTCACTGCTGTTATTGCTGGTGGGAAACTGTTCCCACTCTTYCCTTCTTGCAGGGTGAGACTTTTGGTTATCTTAAAAGGAATCTTKATCCATCTCCTGAGCATATTCCATTGGAAATCTGCTGCTTCCCTCCTTTGCAGAGCCCGGCAGCCCTGGCACACAGTGCCACGTYTGCTTCCCCAATCTGTGGCTTTTTAAAAGCACTTGGAAGCCAAAGGTATCAGGTGAGCAAAACAAAACAGAAGGTTGGGCTGCCAGTACCCTGTCCCCAGGGAATTCATGTGGTGACAGTGACACGTGGGATAACACAGGGGAGATGGATTGTGCTGCTCCCTCCTGACACTGCCAGAGGATTCCGGGTGCTGGAAGGACAGAGCTGGCCCCACTGATTGATTAGTCCCAGGTAACGAGGCTTTCCCACATCCTTCTCTTATCCTAAATGTGAAGTTACAGTTTTGAGCCAGGAATAGCTGTTCCAGCTGGCTGGGCAGTGCCAAGCCCTCCGGCCAGCTCGGGCTCTGCSGAGCACTCAGAGCTCTGCCAGCTTTGTAGCACGGCTTAGTGCTGCTCAAACACATGGGAAGGATCCAGATTTGGCTGAGCTGGAGCAGAGCAGGTGGAGAGGTTTGGCTGTCAGCAGATCACCCCGGCAGCTGGTGGCACAAATCCAAAGGCAGCTGYTTATCCTCAGGAAGGGGCTGTTGCTGGGGTGAGCTGGACTGACATGGAAAAAGCTGTTCCTGTGGTCGGAGTGCAGGAGGGAGGATTTTATCGAGGGCAGGACTCAAGCTGGCATGTTGGGACAGGAGACCCTGGGGTGCAGGACATGCTTGCTTTGTTTAGATGAGTTTGGGGTGTTTTCAAATCCAAAATCATGTGACAAAAACTCTGCTGCGTGGCCAGACTGGAAGTCTGCCTCCGCTCCCACAGCTGCTCAGGACTTGGGAAGGCAAAAAAAAAAATCACACGGCAAGGATTGAGCAACCCCTGAGCATCTGTTTCCCTTCAATCCCTTCGGCACTGGCCTGATCCCTGCTTGCCATCACCCAGCCTTCCCTGCCCACAGCAATGTCTCTGAAGAGCACAAAGCTGAGGAGAGCAGGTCCATTCAGCCCTGGTTTTCACCCTGCTGCCTGCAATGGGAAAGATATTGGGGGTGAAAAGGGGCTGGGAGGAGCATGAGAGAGGTTAGACCCCCCTAAATGCAATTTTACCTAATCTGGCTAGTAGGGATCGTGCTGAACTGTCTTTCTTCAGGGAGTGAAATGTTCCCTCTCTGGACATATCACCCATCAGGACRGGAAGTCACATTCCAGTTCTCCTTTCCTTTTCCCAGGGCATCTTGCAGCATTCACATCCCACCTCTGGAGGTGTCTGGTGGGTTTTCACCTTGTGCATTCACCTCTGTGGCCATCTCAGGGGTGGGAGGGTGACAGCTCCCTCCTGTTGGGTGGGACAGCACCTTTGTGGACATGTCCTGCTCTATTAACAATCACCCTGTGCTGGGAGGGTTTTTAGGAGCCGATTGTTCTGGAGCAGTGGAGTGCGAGATGCGGGGGGAGACGGCACCGGTGCAGCCAAGGAGAAAGGGATGAAACGGAGCCTGAGTGCCAGAACGSAGGGAAGGGGCAGAGTGACAGCATGAAGGAGAATCCCTGGCTCACCTTCAATCAATCCCTGCCTTCCCTCACTCGTGTGCAGCTGAGCGTGCGTGGGGAGCGCCGAGGCAGCGCTCAGTGTCAGGAGCTGTTAGGGAATACATTTGTCACYGGCGGGGCAGGGAGCGCAGCGCGGGGAGAGAGGCGCCCGTCAGCGGGGACACTGATTTATTGATGCCTTTGGATGGCTCCTGTCTTGGGGAGAGCTTACCTAGGGGGGAGGTGTGTGAGGAATGGGCTCAGTTGGGACATTTGTGGCTCTGAACCATTGTTGGTTGCTCGTTCCAGAGGTGGCGCTTCGTCCATGTCCCAGCAGAGCTGGCTGCTGGAACTTGTCCCAATTTGTAGTTCCCACAGGTTAGCAGGAATTGCAGCTGAAGAACATTGTTCCCACAGGGAACATTCCTCTCAGAAAGAGTGTGATTGGTGTAATGGCCCTCCTGTCTCCTGCTGCTCCTGGTTCACCTGTGGGTTCTGATGCCTCCTCTGAGCTCACTGGGGACTCAGCTCTCTGCACCCACTCCCCATTTTCATGGAATCTCCCTCTTCCCAACTTTGCTGTCCTATTCAAAGCATTTTTGCCTCAGAGGTTCGAGTCCATGGGCTCCTGCCTGTGTATTGTGTATCAGATGTGGCTGTGCCTTTCCAAAGAAGAGTCCCAAAGTTTTGGAGCTTTGTGCAGCCTTTGAAGAGCTGTGCATGACAAGGGAATGAACTGATTCTGCCACAAGCTCCCATCTTTGTGATCAAATTCTTGGCTGCAACATGACAGGACTAAAAACTGCCATTTCYATCATCTCGAGAGTGTGATGGTGGGTGGGGGATCCACTGGTGGGATGAGAGATGAACGCTGTGCTTTGGGAAATAAGGGCAGGATGAAAGTTGGGAACTTGTTCTGGTTCTTGTTCCAGCTGTTTGTGCTTCCAGGAAATCTGAGCTAGCAAAGTTGTATTTTTATCCATGTGTATTCCCTTCTTTCCTAGGTGTGGCAGAAGCTCCTGAGCTCCGAAGCTCCCCGTGTCAGCGTGTTCATGGCAGTGCCCACCATCTATGCCAAGCTGATGGAATATTACGACGAGCATTTCACCCAGCCCCAAGTGCAGGATTTCATCCGTGCCTTTTGCAAGGAGAACATCAGGTGGGTGAGCTGCTGGGGGATCACTGGATCCTCCAGGTTTTCCATGCAGCATCACCTCTGTCGGTGTTGGTTGTTGTGCTTTGGTGTCTCTTTGACAGGAACAAGGGTGACATTATTTAATTATGAGCCACTCTTGCATGGGAAAGCCAGAAGGGGCTCGTTACATGTGTCACCCTGTGGAACACATGGCTGAGGACTTTGTCCTGCAGCCCARGCTTGCACTTCAGCATCTCTTTTAGGAGACTGTCCTGGCTGATATTAAACCCCATATCAGACAGAGAATGTGAGGGATATCTTTGRTACTGATTAAAAAGCTTTTGGGGCTGCAGCTTTGATGCAAAGCTGGCTTTGTGTGCCCTGATGTTGTGCTGCAGATTCCCTGGAGCAAAGGGGATCTTGGGCACTCTCTCACCTGCCCTTTCCCTGTGCAGGTTGATGGTGTCAGGCTCAGCAGCCCTGCCTGTGCCTGTCCTGGAGAAGTGGGAGAGCATCACTGGGCACACTTTGCTGGAGAGGTAYGGGATGACTGAGATTGGCATGGCACTCTCTAACCCCTTGCATGGAGTCCGTGTCCCAGGTACGAGTCTCCAGAGGGTTTGGAGGTGTTTGCTGGGAAATGGTCTGGGTTTTTTTCTGCTCATGGGGGAGGAGAGGCCATTCCATGAACAAGGGAATTGCTTGGAATTGGCCCTGGGATGAGTGGGGAGTGGCTGCATGTGCAGAGCTCGTAGGGTGCCCACTGCCCTGACCACGCTGGCACACTCCAGACTTTATTACTTCCAAAATCTCAGTGAATTGAAGGAGTGTTCCTTCAGCTCCTGCTGCCTGGAGTTGTATTTCTGGGTGGTGCCACACCGGATTCTCCATGCAGCAGTGCTCGTCCAACCCCTCAGTGCTSAACACTTAAAATAGGATGTCTGCTCACTCTTATTTTAGTGCCTGTTTCTTTCCTCTTCAGGAATTGGAAATTGTCACACCTCGCTGTACACTCTGGGCCTGTTCTCTCCTTGTCTTCCCCCCACTTCTCTGAGCTACACTTTGTGATTGCTCTCCGTAGCTGYACTTTCTGGAACCTAGAAATAAATTGATCTGAGACATTGCAAATAGAAAATGCCCCCACTCTCCCTGTGGTTGGAGCGTGGCCATCTGTGTGCCCACCCTGTGCCACCTGCCTCCCCACAGGCTGTCTGTGCAGGCAYGGCACCATCTGCAGCCTCCTGGGGAACGGGTGTTACCCCAGGGGGGTGTCCTGGGTGTCACAGCTTCCCACAGCACCCCAGTCCCATGGGGTGCAGAAGCTGGGTCCYACAGGGGTCACACAGGGAGAGGAGAAGCCAAAACTCCCCCTCAGGTTGACTCCTCAGCCTGAGAACAGCTTGAAATACAAACTCTGTTTTACTTTTGCAGGGTAACTGTCATTCCCTCACCCCACCACAGCCAGTTTTATCTTCCTCCAGAAGCCCCATCCCTGCAGGCAGCAGAGGGAAGCAGGCAGGAAAAACAAGACTCCCATATGCAGGAGCTCGAGCTGTTTGTCAGCCACACACCCCAGGATGACAGGGCAGGGATCATTTCATGTCCCTGTGGCTTTCTTGTATTTGCTTTTTATTGATTTTCAGGCGGGGAAATGAGTGAAGGCTCCAGAAATTTCCCAGGAGACTCAAAGAGAAAGGAAATAAAGCTGAAAGTAACATGGCAGTGCAGAATTTGGCACCCAGAAGGGCATCTCCTGCCCCAAAGCTGGTGGCTGTGCTCCTGAGGCATCATCCCCATGGGTCTGCAGGGGACCTGGGGACAAATCCTCTCGTGCAGCCAAAGCAGAAGGGCTGGGACTGTCACTCCACCCCCATGCAGGGGCTCCTGCAGCCCCAGAGGGGAGAGAATTGTCTCACAGAGGTGGGGATCAGCACGGGACCCTACAGAAAGGAGGCTGTAATTGAATAGGCTTGATTAATTTATTTGGGGAAGTGTCAGCTGGGAAGCAGATGGGTGAAGCTGAGGCATAATTTACTGGAGMTGTGCAAAAGCTTTTGATCCAGTGTCCTGGTAGAGGCTGGGTGGGAGGTCACCAGGTAGCACAGAGCATCCCAGAGTCAGCTGCTGGTGGCCTGGGGACAGGGGACATCCAGAGGGGGATGCAGCACAAATCCTTCTGTACCACTCAGATCTGTTAGAGTGAACCCAGAGGAGGCACCAGGATGATCAGAGGATGGAGCACTCTGCTGAGAGCACTGGGATTGTTCAGCCTGGAGAAGAGAAGGCTTTGGGGTGATCTAACTGTGGCCTTTCAGTTCCTACAGTGGAACCTTCCAGTGGCCTTTCAGTTCCTTTACAGTTCCTTTCACTTCCTACAGTGGAGATGGAGAAGGACTTTGGACAAGGAATGGAGTAACAGGACAAAGGGGAATGGCTTCACACCTAAATGTAGGTTTAGATTAGATATGAGGAAGAAATTCTTCCTTGTGAGGGTGGGGAGAACCCTGGCACAGATTGCCTGGAGAAGCTGTGGCTGTCCTTGGAACCCTGGCAGTGCCCAAGGCCAGGTTGGATGGGGCTTGGAGCACCCTGGGATGGTGGAAGGTGGCAGGGAGGAATAAGATGAGCTTTGAGGTCCTTCCCAAACCCTCCTGGGATTCATGAGCCTCTGAGGAGAGATCCTGGGGTTTCCCTTGCCCACTTTCAGACCACTGGTGTGGCAAGGGAAGGGTTGAGCCCTTKGGCCCTGCCCATCCTGCYSRTGTCCCTGCTGGTGTCCCCAGCAATGTGTCCCCACTCTCCATCCCCAGGTCTGAAGGGGTAGGAATGGGGGTGTGGGAGCTTTAATTTCCAGAAGCAGCAAAGATGAAAGATTTGAAAGATAAATGTTTGCTTGTATATTGTTAAAACCCTGCTTAAAATGCCTCTGTTTTCACCAGCTCTCATTCTAATCCCCCCTGGTGCTGTTACTGTGAAGGGAGATGAATAATTCATGGCCGGAGAATGCCTCACTGGGCCTAATCACCACTTTAATTGGAGGTTTAGATCAGAGGCAGCTAATAGCTGCTACAGCGGGGACTCCGTGTATTGTTGACAGTGAGATCCTTGAGTGCCTTATCGTTGGCCTGTTCCAATCCTCCCGGGACACAGAGGCACAGAACAGCCCTGAGTACCCAGATACCGAAGGACACGGAGCACGGCGCCAATTAAATTTATCTGGGAAGAGCTGACAACTTTTTTAAACAGAGGAGAGCGGGTGAAAGAAGAATGGTGTCACCCCCTCGTGCCTGTGACACCRCGGGCGTGGTGCCAGCATTGCTGAACATCCAAGAGACTGTGAATTGCAGGGATGGAGAGGGAAATGAGCAGGGATTTCTCCTCATTTTCCCCTCAGGTTTATGGCTGGGTACAAARRGAAGCCAGTGCAGAGTGCTGACCCSTTCTGATCACCCCAGCTGTGGTTTTGGTGAAAATAGAGCCTCCAGTGCTGCTCCTTTGGGAATGGGTCCACATTTGTGCTGAGCTGTTGGAGCTGGCACAGGGTGTATTTTGACACGGTGGATGGGCTGGGAAGCTCCAGTCATTGTTTTTGCACAAATTTTATTAATCCTGTCAGGTTTGTGCAGCTCCAGTCAGTGGTACGAGCTTTTCCAGCCTTTACAGATGTTGATTTCGAAGTTTGTCATTTTTCCTAAATACCAGAAAAGCTTCTCCAGACAGAGCACAAGGAAACAGCTCTCCACCAGGGACTTGTCTTACACGCTGGTTTATTTTAGCYGAGCAGGAGAGGAACTGCTGGGGCTGTGTTGGTAACTGTGATCTGAAACGCTGCGTGGGGGACACATCACCTCCTCTGAGCCTTCCCATGTGCCAGCACTGTGCTGATCTTTGGTTTCTCATTCCCAAAGGCTGACACCAGCAGTGGGCACTGATCCTGGGGTCCTGTGCCCATCAATCACTGCCCATTTCCATGCTGAGGTCATCCAGGGAAGAAGCATTTTCAGGAARGCACCTGGCTGGATCTACATTTGAAAAGTTCTGAGTCTGTGAGAGCCCCTGGCAGTTCCTTGCATTGGTTTCTGCTCCCTGCAGGAGCTTTCCAGGACTGACTTTGTGGTGTCTGCCCACAAACGTGCCATGTTTTGTGGGCAGATTGSAGTCTGTTCACACACGGTGCTTTTCACCCTGAAGAAACTGTTCCCATCCAAGTTTCAAAGGTGGCTCCARCACCCTTCCATGCAACACTGAGGAGTGTTTGCCATGACTTGTTACTCGCTTCGAGGCCTCTTGGAGTCTCCCATGGCAGGTGCAAGATTGTTTATAACACATATGGTGTGATTTTTGGGGTTGGCCTGTGCAGAGCCAGGAGTTGGACTTGATGATCCTTGTGGGATCCAACTTCTGTGCTTGTGATTCCATAAATACCTCGGCATGGCACCTCAGGGCACTGCTGGCTCACTCTCCCTGCTGCTTCTGCTGCACCCCTTTGTCCCTGAGCCCTGGCAGTGTGTGACCAAGGGGTGACAGCCACCCAAGGGTGCTGGTGGTGAGGGGAGAGCCTGGCTGTGCTGGCTGACCACAATGCCAAAGGCAATTCTGAGCAGATCACAGAGCTGCCACGTCGCTTTGTATTTATTTCCAGCCAGATTTGCTAATTGTTCGGGTAGTTTCGCTGCAATAAAAATCTCACTCCCTCATAGCCCATCTGCTCTTGGCTGATCCTGCAGGGATGCCATAAATCTGGGCTAGGACGACATATCCATTTCCATGGCAACTGACCAATGTAGCAGACAAAATCGTGATGTCACAGATAGCAGATCTCCAGGGCTTCAGCAGGACAACGAGCCCAGCACGGGGAAAATGCCACTTGAACCCTGAAATACGAGTGACAGGGCTGAGYTGCAGGTCCTGCCCTGCTCTAGGGAATTCCCAATGTCAAGGTGATCCTGGCAGCCTTGGAAAGCATCAGCTGGTGGCTCTTCTGGGGAAAAAAATGATCCTTTAAAATAAAGAGCACAGTTAGCAATTCATAGAATCCCAGAATGGTTTGGTGTGGAAGGGATCTTAAAGCTCATCTTGTTCCATCCCTYGGTTGTTTTGCCATAGGAGCTGTCTCGTGCTGCAAAGTGAGACCTGAACAGGATTTCACAGGAACAGAGCTGTCCTCTCTGCTGAGCTCTCAGGTGCTCCCAGGAAGAGCAGGCACTAAAGCAGGGGTGACAATGCTGCAGCTTGGGGAGCTCTGGGTCACACACCCAGCGTGGAGCTCCTTGTGATGATGTGTCAGCTCCTTGGCTTTGAAATTGAAACCTGTGCAAGAACAGTGGGGTTTTGATCCCTGCTTTTCTCCTGTGATGTTTTCTATCCAGTGTATTGATGTCTCCTAAAACTGAGATAATCCCAGGCAATTCTCAGCTCTTAAGCCTTTGCCTCCCCTGTCAGGTGCAGGCTGTAGAGGAGCAGAGTAATCGCTGTGCTCTCTCTTTTCACAGCTTTGTGGTGCCTTTAAAAAAAAAAAAAAAAATAGAAACAGCTTCATTGCTGAGCTCTGAAGCTGTGCARATGTCTTCAAAGACTAGCCAAGAGAGACTGTTGAGGGCTGGAGACACGTTTGATKTCCAGGGCATTTCCAGCACTGCCTTCTCAGTGAACAAACATTTCCATGCACACACACGGTGGGATCGATGCTTTCCTGAAGGGACCAAAATTAACCCAAATAACCCCTGCTAGGAGGTTCCTTGGTGCCATYGATAGACGGGCAGCTGCTCTTTTGCATGCTGGGTTTTGTATTTCAGAGCTGAGCTCTGTCTCTCTGCTGTTCCCCACAGGTTCCGTGGGTACCCCGCTGCCCGGTGTGGAGGTGTGCATTGCCAGTGAGATCCTGAAAAACGGGACTCGTTCCTACAGGATCCATGCCCAGGGGAATGAGAATGGCACTCAGGTACTGCCCAGCTCTGTCCTCTTCTGTTCCCCAGGACAAGGGCTGCATTCAGGGGAAGTTCTGTCCTTCCCAGCCCTTTGAAATCCTGGGGTCTGAGGTTTGCCCTGCTGTCATTCCCAGGAATTCTGTATCACTGGGTTTGTTGCACTGTGTGTGGGTTCCTGTGGTACTGTGTTGGCTGCACAGTGCTATCCATATAGTTGTGAAATGGTTTGGGTTCAAAGGGATCTTAAAACCCATTCAGTGCCACCCCCTGCCCTGGCCAGGGACACCTTCCACCACCCCAGGGTGCTCCAAGCCCTGTTCAATTTGTCTTTGAACACTTCCAGGGATCCAGGGGCAGCCACAGCTGCTCTGGGCACCCTGTGCCAGGGCCTCCCCACCCTCCYAGAGAACAATTCCTTCCCAATATCCCATCTAATCCTACTCTATTTCACTTTGAAGAGCAGTCTAGTGGAAGGTCCCTGCCCATGGAGCTTTAAGGTCTTTCCCAAACCATCCTGTGATTCTGTGATTCTGTGATTGGAAGGGCAGGACTGGTGACCCTGAGGGTTGCACTCATTTTGAAACAGCACTGGAGGAAGCCCCTCAGGTTTCCATGGAGGTCCAGCTCCGTGGTGTGCTCCACATGACAGTTGTGTGCCAGAGCTGGGTGTGGGGTGTGTTTTGTGTCCCTCAGCCCAAGCTCCAGGCTGTCTGATCCCGCTGAAGGGTTTGCCTTCCTTTCCCCTCCCCTCCACCCCCTCCCTGCTCTGGCAGATCCATCCATCCCCCGGTGGTGTCTGGGCATGGCTGAGCAGAGCAGTGCTGTGTGTGTGACAGAAGTGACCCCAGCAGTGACACCGCGTGGGTGGCACCCAGGCAGGCGTGAGATTCAACCTGAAATAGGTTCCTTCACTCCTTCCCCTGGGAAATGGCTTCTCATCCAGCCACCTACATGCTGAGGGTCTAAAAGGAGCTTCCTGGGCTGTGGCAGTGACACTGCTGGTGTAAACACTGCTGAGAGGCTCGAGAAAACCTTTTTTTTTGGTCTGAATTACGTGGTGGCAGGTGGAGGAGCCAGCAGGACCACGGGCAGCCCGTGGGTGGGATGTGCTCGGGTTGTGTTCTGTGTTCCGATGCTGCAAGAGCTGGATCCACCCCAGACATGTAAAACAGCCCAGGGGACAGCTGAGAGGGACCACAGATTGTGGCTTTTAGTAAAAAAAAAACCTCTTTTCTGCTCTTTACTCTGTGTCACTGCTGTGGGAAGAGCAGGAGACTCCCCATGTCCTCCCATGTCACCAGACCCCTTTGTCACTGCCCTGGATCACTGTTATGTTTTACAGGTTTGTCCTCTCATCCCAGAGTTTGCTCTTGGCCTTTTTTTTTCCACTTGTGTGGAACTGAGACGTGAAATATAACGTGTCCCTTTTAATAATGATCCTATAATGCTTTTTTTCCCTCAGGGATCCCGGGGCACTTTACAAATTAGGTCTCAGACATGAGAATCCCCAAAGTGCAGCTACTTCCAGGATGAAATGTGGATGTTGTTCTAGTGAATTATGAGAGGAAAAAAATATGGAATGTTGTTTTTTCTGCTCCATACTCCTTCCTTTTCATTGCACTGAGTGACCAGAGAAGGGGTCAGATGATCTGTGTCTGGTGCTGGAAGCCACCAGCTCCTCAGGGCTTCACTGAGCTGGGATTCACCAAAYTTTTTCCTTTGGTTTCAGAGGAAATTCTGGCTTCTCTCAATTCTGAGGGCAGGGAAATTGCCCTTTATTGTGGTGATTTCTTCCATCCACGCTGCAGCCCTGGTGGGTGGCTGAGGTCCATACAGCTCCTCCAGGAGCTGCTGTTGGCTCCCTGCCCCTTGCTGATGGTTCTCTTTCCGTCAGGCTCTCCCTTGGGGATCCTCTGGATGTTCTGGTGAATTCTCAAGCCATCAGCCAGTGTGGAGGTGGTGATTTGCTTCTGAGTGTTGGCTCATGGCTTGGTCCCTCTCYGAAAAGCTGTCCCCATCTCACCCACCATTCCTCTTGTCCCAGCTGAACTGGGAGGAGGCTGAAGGGAGAGCAATGGTCCCATCTGTTCAGGCCACCCTAGGAGAGAGTGGCTCCAGGACATCCACAGCATTTCCAGGAGCAGAGCAGAGCCAGCTGCCCCTGTCCCTGGGACTGTCACAAGGTGGGAAGGACAGTCCTGACTCTCAGCGTGTGTTGGCACAGAYGGGTGTGCAGAAATGCCAGGAGTTTGGGGTTTTGTACGCCCTGGGCACACAATGTGACCTTCCCTGGTGTGACAGCGTGGTGCCAACACCTCTGCTGGCAGGGATGCTGCAATTCCAGGGCCTCACACCTGCAGTGCCAGGCAAAGCCTCACCTGCTCAGAGCCTGCCCCAGACGCTGCTGCTGGCACCGTGTGCATCATGCTTGGTTAATAATTCATGGCAGCACAGACAGCAGCAGTGGAATTTATTTAAAACGAGGCGGATCTGACAGTCCGAGYGCTCATCACGCTCCAGCAGTCCCAGAAAAGCCTGGCTTTGTTTAAATCAGCTCCTCCACGGCGCAGGGGCTGTCCCAGGGCTGGGAAGGGCTGGTTAGTGTCACCCTGTGCCACCAGGTAACCCCATGGCCTTTTCCTTGCCTCTTTTGAGAAAGAGGAGCAAATCCTTCCTCCTCTCCCTCACAGGAGGGCTCTGAGCCTAATGTTGGTTGAGGGCTGGAGAAGGCTGAGAGGAGAGCTCAGGGTCTTCAACATCCTGGTGAGGGGCAGCAGAAAGGCAGATACTGATCTCCTCCCTCTGGTGACCTGTGACAGGAGCCAAGGGAATGGCTGGAGCTGTCAAGGCAGGTTTGGGTTGGGTAGCAGGAAATGGTTGGTTTGGGTTGGATAGCAGGGAAAGGTTGGTTTGGGTTGGATAGCATGGAAAGGTTGGTTTGGGTTGGGTAGCAGGGAAAGGTTGGTTTGGGTTGGATAACAGGGAAAGGTTGGTTTGGGTTGGATAGCAGGGATTTTTTCCCTGGTGGGTGGTCAGGCACTGAACCCCCAGGGAATGGTCACAGCTCCAAGGCTGCCAGAGCTCCAGGAGTGTTTGGACAACGCCAGGGACAGGATGGGATTGTTGGGGTGGTCTGTGCAGGGCCAGGGGCTGGATGGATGATGCTGTGTGTCCCTTCCAGCTCAGGATATTCTGTGATTCCATGATTCAGGCACCATGGGGCTGATGGAGTGGGATGCTGTGCACCCTGGTAGGAGCTGGGCTCTGAGCCATCTCTTCTCCCCGGCTCCTTCCAGCAGGTGATCCCTGTGCTGGGCTGAGGCACTGTCAGGACAATCTGGGAGGTGTTCACACCTCGGCTGTGCGAGCAGAGAGCGCTGCCTTTGCCAGGGGAATTGTCTGTGAAGCCTCACAAGGTCAGCACCTTCTGTGCTGCTGTTGGGCTGGGTTGTGCCTCTTGCTCCCTCCCCACATCACAGCCTGGCCCTTTAGGCTGGATCAGCACTCCCCTTCATTTCATGCCCTTTGGGCACGTGTGATCCAAACAGCAGCAGAGGAGGAGGATGAGGATGAGGAAGGCAGGAGCAGGGAGCTGAGCAGYGTTCCTGCCCTGCCATCCGGGAACTGCCCGAGCTTGCAGCAGGGGACTGCTGTAATTTGCAGAGTTGGTTGCTGGCACACCCTGAAGATCAATAATCTACTTAGCTGTAAGTTTGCTGGATTTCTGTTCCTCCCTGCATTTTCTCCCGTCCCTTGATTGGAGTGCTGGATTCCTTTCCCACACGTGCTGCAGCCCTTCAGTCTCCTCACATCTCAGGAGCC